TTGGAATCCTTCAGCATGAATTGCACTTCAATGTACAAAAAAAAAAAAAAAAAAAATCTCAATGGGACCAATAAATAACATCATGATAAATGAAGAAAAGGTTGAAATTTTTAAAAACTTCATATTGCTTGGGTCTACAATCAATGCTCATGGGAATAGCAGTCAAGAAATCAGGCAATAAATTGCATTAGACAAATATGCTACAAAAGACCTCTTTAAAGTGTTTGAGAGCAAAGATGTCAGTTTGAGGACAAAGGTGCATGCTAGCCAAGCCATGGTATTTTCAATTGCCTCATATGCATGTGAATGTTGGACAATGAGTGAGGAAGACTGTAGAAGAATGGATGCACTTGAATTATGGTGTTGGAGAAGAATATGGAAAGTTTCATGAACTGCAGCAGAGCAAACAAATTTGTCTTGGAAGAATCACAGCCACAATGATCTTTAGAAGAGAGGATGACAAGATTTCATCTCTCATACTTTAGAAGTGTTGTTTGGAAAAGAACTTTATGTTTGGTAAAGTGGATGATCAGTGAAAAAGAGGAATACCCCAAACGAGATGGATTGGCACAGTGGCAGCAACAATGGCCTTAAATATGACACCTATGAGGATGGCATAGGACTGGGCAATGTTTCACTCTGGTGTGCATTGGGTCACAATGAGTCAGAGTTGACTTGATGGCACCTAAAAACAACTAACAACAATATTTGAGATTTTGAGAAACTAGCAAATTTTCCTAAGAAATCACATCACTTCCCATTCACATCAGCAATGTGTAAGAATTCCAATTTCCCCTCATCTTTGTCAACACTTGACACATGGTGATGATTTCCCTCCACGGCAAAGATTCTCTTTCTTGGTTCATTTGCCAGGGCACGCTTACGGTTTTTCTTCTCAGAGCTTCCTTCCTTGGCTCTTCTTTCTTGCCTCTCCCTCAAAATACTGAGTTTTTCTGAGAGTTGTGCCTCAACCCACTACTCAGTTACCCTCTCCTCCTATGCAATCTCTTCCTATCTCATGGCTTTAAATACTATCAATAAGCTGATTTTTTCACAAGTGTGTTTCTATGAACTCTGCTTCAAGTTACAAAAATTGCACTAATGACTCTTATTTTTCTTTTGTGCACCTTATCATTAGTAATATATTTACATTCAATGTTAAAATAGACGTATAAGTTTATACATAATGTTTCCATCTACCAAAGACAAAAAACAGATCAGATTTTTAAGGATACTAATAATAAAACACAATGATGATGAAAACTAAAAAAAAAAAAAAAAAAAATTCAGTTTATGTCAGAATGTCAGAACCGATTTATGACAGAGTTGTCAGAAAAGAACCCAGTTGGGGATGACTTGTGTATACCAAACTGAAAATTTGAATCTCTACATATCAGCCTAAAAAATAAATAAACAACACAGCTACAAAAAAGGCTATTTATTGTCCAGTCTTCTCAGCTACAACAGACAAAATCGTATAATCCTATAAATTGAAATAAACAAACTGAAAACACAAAATCGTTCTAAATTATTTTGTTTTCTTGCTTTTCACATCAGTTCATGTCAGCATATCCCATAGGTTCTAACTCTAAAGTTTATTTAAAGCATGTTGACTCTTCCATTTAAGCTGCTCATGTTTTCCACACTGTCACTGATCTGTCACACTTGGATTGCCATGTTGTTGCTATGTGCTGCAGAGACAGTTCTGACTCAGGGACTCTCTATAGGGTTTCCAAGGAGTGGCTGATACCACACAGGACTCCATAATAACCACTTAATTGGCTTCCTATTTTCCACTGTTATACCTAAACTCCATCCTCCAGATAGATGTTAGAAAGCCCTCAAAATGTGAAAATCAGAAGACATTTATGCCCTATTTAAAACTCCACCATGCTTTCATACTATGGTGTGTTGATTCTGGTTCTCTGAGAAACAGACCCCAAGATAAAGCACAGATGTCTATAAGTCTAACATGTCTGATTAACTACTTGTGCTAAGCTATTCATCCTAATTTGCTGCAATGAACCATTATAATTTCAGTTGAATTCCACATTGGTTTTATCTAAAGATTTCCTCTGAGTATACTGTAGAGTGTTTTTCTAGGAAGTGAACTAGAGATTAATGATGCTTATATATTATGCTGTTATATTCCAAAATATTTTATCGCTAAAATATGTCTTGTCTGATAAATCAATGCACCTAGTGAACATCTCCATGGGAATCTGTTCTGTACACTTAACCTCTGGTATGTTTTACAATAGGATGAGGAAGATGGAGAGGATGCCACCTCTTATAGGAACAGTGACCCTGTGATTGGGACCCACACTGAGAAGGTCTCCCTTAAAGCCAGTGACTCCATGGATAGTCTCTACAGTGGGCGGAGCTCATCAAGTAAGACTGCTGAATAAATTATAAGACCCTAGATGTGAAGTCTGATTTGTTGTTGTTGTTAAGTACCATGGAGTCAGTTCCGACTCATAGTGACCCTGCACAGGGTTTCTGAGGCTTTAAATCTTTACGGGAGCAGAACGCTTCATCTTTCTCCTGTGGAACTGCTGGTGGTTTTGAACTGCTGACCTTGAGGTTGGCAGCCTGACTCGTAACCACTATGCTACCAGCTCCTGTGGGACTTGTTTATCAAATTCGTAACCAAGTTCCAGTTGTATGATAAGAGAAATGGTAAAAAGGTAGCAGGCTGGATATGCTGAATCAATATGGATTTTCTATTGCTGAGAATGCTAGATAATACTCTAGACAAAATTATGTATTGTTTTAAAACTTTTAATAGTACAGTCAGTAGGGTCACTGGACATAAACTTCAAACAGTTTTTGTTGGGTAATTATATCGGCATCCCAAGACAAAAATATATGCTGGGTAGAACTGAAGCATTATTTTGTGTTAAAGTATTTTAAATTGTTTAAAACAGAGTAAATGAAATCCTGTTTGTTTGTTTCTATCCTCTCTCTTTATCTTCCCCTCCTTATACTTACTGGTTATCTTCTACCCTTTTGCTTTCCCTCCATCTTCCCCTCTCTGTACTCTTCCCTTTCCTCTCTCCCCCTTTTTACCCATTCTTTCACTCTCTCCCTCCTTTGGTCCCTTTCTTTTCCCTTCCCTCTCTCACTTTTTTCTTCCTTTTCTCCTGAAGTATTCTGAAAAGTACAGGCCATTCATATTCATTCTGGCATTTAATTTTTAGGTCTTGATCCAACATTAGTGAGTAAAGAGTAAAACAATACATAAATACTAAATGATGGACTGTAAGCAACAAAGAGACAAAAAGGAATTAGCAGATTTCCAAAAATGATATTTTTAATAAACATTGATATTTTCCTAAGAAGGAAAAAATAACTCAGGATTTAGTTACATATCCTGCAACAATATTATAAAACTACTGTTATAGCAGAATATCTTATGACTTTTTATATGTAAACTGTTACATATCCCTCTAATCTTTTCAGGGCTTTAACATGTTTTTGCAAAGTTTATTTTCCATTTCCATTTAAAACAACTGCTTATATTATTTGAAGATGGATCACAAAGACCAGATGTTTCAAATATCCTGGGTTTTATTTCCATTCTCTTATTGGCTGCACCATGGTTATTTTGTGAAAATAGCTAGTGCAGAAACATTTGAGAGACACATTTCCTAGTGTGTGAAATTCGGATTTTATTAGTATTCTTTCCTGCTGCAAGTTTTAAGATTCTGGATTGTGGTCTGGAATGTGAGGAGAATTTCATTAACTAGAATGTGCCATGTAAAGCCAGGATCTAGGGTAATTAGGCAATATGAAGAGTTGGGAACACAGTTTTTATCTTAGGTGATGTAACTTCTGTAATAGACAACTCACCTTTCTTTTTTATAAAAACTCATAGGCAATGTGGAACATCTCCGAAAATCTTTACTTAATTTACATAATATGTAGCAGTGGGTTGTTCCCTCCAAGAACTGAGCACCAAGGGAACTGAAGGAAGAAGTGAAGCGATAACTATGAATGGTGGAAAAACTGCATGTTGATTCCACCAGGAAACTTTCTTGCCCCAGACAAGCAGCAGAACCAGAATGTCCTGTCTCCCTTTCTCTAAGACTCATGATCAGAAAGGAAATGAATCAACAAACAAGAGTTTGGAGCTGTTTAAAAAGCCCAGTTTAGAATGCTTTTGAACCACTTTGGGGGCTGGCGGGTACAGACTTCCAGAAGCACTTCCTGCTCTTCTCATCACATTTGTACAAGCTGAATTTCTACTTTTACATGCAAAGAAGTTGTCTCAAAATGGCATTTGGTATACAATAAGAAGTCTGGGGAACATTTTTTTGCTACAATACTGTTATGTTACAGTAAACCTTGTAGTTTCATACCATGACCACTTTATGATCAGTACCACACAAAGATCAAACTGCTGCTATCAGTTCCTGTTTGTTTACATGTACAAAATTAATTGTCTGACTTGAACAGGGCTTGAGATCATACCATCTGCCTCTTTTGTTGTTGTTGTTGTTATGTGCCATGGAGTTGGTTCCAACTCACAGCGACTGTACAGGGTTTCCAAGGCTGTAAATCTTTATGGGAGCAGAAAACCTCATCGTTCTCCTGCAGAACAGCTGGTAGTTTCGAACTGCTGAACTTGCGGTTCGCAGTCCAATTAATAACCACTACGCTACCAGAGCTCCTTTAGCAAGTTCCAAAACACTGTGCTGTTGGGTCAGATCACAGAGACAGAACTGAGAGGGTTTTTGGGTGATTGGGACCAGCTGCCTGGAAAAGGGACAGAAATAGCTCAGTGGACAGTGGTCACTAATGGAGTGTGACAAGAAACAGGAATCAGACATTAGAAACCCTGCAGAAGGTTGCCATTCAACTCTTCAATATTTTCATTCTTCTGTTGTGTCGAGATGACGGTTCAGGTTCAAAATATTATGAGCACTCATCTGTTGACCTCTGCTTCCATTAGGTGGAATAACAAGTTGTTCAGATGGTACAAGTAACCGGGACAGTTTTCGGCTTGATGATGAAGGTCCCTACACAGGACCATTCTGTGGCCGAGCTAGAGTGCACACAGATTTCACGCCAAGCCCCTATGATACGGACTCCCTCAAAATCAAGGTGAGTGAACATCATATCTGCCTTCAATATGGCTTACCAAATACTGTGTCATGTAACCTGTTTAAAGAAGTACACACAGTGGAAGCTGGAGATATGAGTGTATACTTCTTAGCAGTAGAAAATTCATTTGTTGTGGCAAGAGTTCCAAACAAAACATGCCTGGACTGGGTGTGGGTATGAGGAGTCACTCTCTTCAAGCTTTGATTGTTAATTGTTGTTAGGTAGGTATTGAGAGCCCTGGAGGCACAGTGGATTAAGCATTGATTTGCTAATTGAAAAGTCAGCAGTTCCAACCCACAAGCTACTCCTATGGAGAATGTGGCAGTCTGCTTCTGAAATGCTATGGAGCAGTTTTACTGTCGCCCATAAAGTCACTATAAATTGAAATCTAGTTGATGGTTGTGGGTTTGGTATTTTTATTTGGTTACATACATAATGTAGTTACAGAGCCTAGCTAGGGAGGAAGGAAATTTCTGAAAACTAATAGTCCAACAGGTTGCTGGAGGTGCTCTCTTCTGTCTGGTACTTGCTAGGTATAAACATTATGGAGCCAGCAAGAGGGAAAGAAAATGGAGATATCAGGTAATACTCCATCAGAGCTAAGTTTTTGGAAAGCAGTCTTGAAAGGGCTCCTCCAGCACTTTTGAAGCAGGTTATCGAGAGCTGTTAGGGATCTTTGTCCCAATAATATTCCCTCCTGAATTCCTTCTTCTTACTCCTACACTCTGTATCAAATTTAGACTGTTGCTACAAACTCAGAGGCTTCCAACCACACAAATTAATATTATCTCTCTGTTCTGGAAGTAATCAGTCCAAGGATGGCCCAATTGGGTTCTCTGTCTAAGGATCTTACCAGGTTGAAATTCAAGTGTCAACCATATTTGTGACCTTGTCTGAGGCTCAGGGTCCTCTTCTAAGCTCACTGGTTGGTGACAGAATTCAGTTCCTTGTGGTTGTCAGGCTGAAGTCCCTGTTTTGTGTCTGGAGAACAACTAGGACCATTCTCAGCTCTAAAAGCCATTACCCTCTCTACAACTTGGAGGCTAACTCCTTCAGGCTACAAGAAAACAAGCTCACTGATGCCTCAAATCTTACTCTTTTTTACAAGTTCCCACCTGATTGAGTCATACCCATCCAGATAATCTCCCTTTTAATTAACTCAAAATCAATTAATTTGAGGCATTCTTTAATCTGAAAAACCCCTTTTATCATATAATGTAATATAAACATGGGTGTGAATCCTTCATATTCACAGCCCCACCCACACTCAAAGGCAGGGTACTTAGTATGTACACCAAGTGCAAGAAACTAGATGGACAGGATTACTTTAGAATTCTGCCTTCCAAACCCTCTCATTCAAGAAAGCCTATTTTACCTTCCATTCACATCAGTGGTGGTGGCTGTGTGCCGTGGAGTTGGTTCCGATTCATAGAGACTCTGTACAGGGTTTCGGATGTTGTAAATCTTTACGGGAGCAGAACGCCTCATCTTTCTCCTGTGGAACAGCTGGTAATTTTGAACTGCTGATCTTGCAGTTCACAACCCGATTCATAACCACTATGCTACCAGAGATCAGTAGACACATTCAGATTCCACTTTGCATTGTGCTCCTTTATCTTTTCACACTTACTGTTTGCCCACAGCCTATGGGTAGGTAAGATTAGCATTGCTATTCAGATGAGGAAACAAATTCAGAGATTTTGCCATTTTTCCACCATACCCCATCCACAATTAACTGATGAATTCATTGTTGTTAAGTGTCTTTGAGTCTTTTCAGGATCATAGTGACTCTGTATAGAGTTTCTGAGGAGAGGCTGGTGAGTTTGCACCACTGACTTTGTAGTTCAAACTGACCTTTCAGTCCAGTGTTTATGCTACAGTGTCACACCAAGACTAGGGTAGCACTGTAGGATAAGCACTATACTGTTAACCAAAAGGTTGGCAGTGCAAACCAACACCAACTGCTCTGTAGGCAAAAGATGCGACTTTCTACTTCTGTAAATATTTGCTTTTGTTGTCGTTAGGTGCTATTGAGTTGTTCCAATTTATAGTAACACTATGTACAACGAAAAGAAATACTGCCTATTTCTGTGCTATCCTCACAGTTGTTAGGTTTGAGACCACTATTGCTGTCACTTTGTCAATCCATCTTATTGGGGGTCTTCTTCTTTTTCACTGCTACTACACTTTACCCCACATGATGTACTTCTCCAGGGACTGGTCTTTCCTGACTATATGCTCTAGGAATGAGAAACAAAGTATGGCCATCCTGGTTTCTAAAGAGCAGTCTAGCTGTACTTCTAAGACAGGTTTGTTTGTTCTTTGAGCAGTTCATGGTACTTATAATATTTCTTGCCAACACTATAATTCTTCTAAGATCTTCCTTATTCATTATCCACTTTCACATGCATATGAGGTGATTGAAAATACCAGGAGCACCTTAGTCCTTAAACTGATAACTTTGCTCTTTAACAAGTGTTCTTTTGCAGCAGATTTGTCTAATGCAACACATCCCTGATTTCTTGACTGATGCTTCTGAAAATGTTGATGGTGTATCCAAACAAAATGAAGTCTTTGAAAACTTCAATCTTTTCTCCATTCATCATAATGATACTTATTGGTTCAGTTGTAAGAATTTTTGTTTTCCTTGCATTAAGATGCCATCTATACTGAAGATTGTAGTCTTTTATCTTCATCAGTAAGTATTTTAAGTCCTCTTTGCTTCCAGCTAGCGAGTTTATGTCATCTGCACATCTCAGTTTGCTAATGAATATTCCTCCAATACTAGTGATATGTTCTTCCTCATATAATCCAGTTTCTCCGATTATTTGCCCAGCATACAGATCAAATAAAAATGGTGCCTGGATCATTCAGTATCCTTTTGCTCTGTTCAACCAACTACCTCTTGGTCTGTATGCAAGTTCCTCATAAGAACAATTAAATGTTCTGAAATACGAATACTTTGAAATGGTATCCATTGTTACAATCCACATAATCGAATGCATTTGCATAGTCCATAAAACCCAAGTAAGCATATTTCTAGCATTCTCGACTTTTAGCCAAGAACTATCTGATATCAGCAATGAGATCCTTCATTTTACGTCCTCTTCTAAATCTGCCTTGAATCTCTGGCAGTTCACTGTTGATGTGCTGCTGCAACCATTGCATTATCTTCAGCAAAATTTCACTTACAGGTGATATTAATGATATGATTCAATGATTTCTACATTCTACTGGGTCACATTTCTTTGGAATGGATGCAAATATGGATCCCTTCCAATCAGTTGTTCAGGTAGCTGTCTTGAAATTTCGTGGCATAGACAAATAAGTGCCTCTACCATTGTTGTTGTTATTATTAAGTGCTGTTGAGTCGGTTGTGACCCATAGCTACCCTGCATAGGGTTTCTGAGGAGTGGCTGGTGAGCTTGAACCACCAACCTTGCAGCTCAAACTGATCTTACAGTCAAGTGCATTAACCCACAGTGCCACACCAGGACTCCAGCATTACATCAGTTTATGTATGTGTCAGAGAGTGGATTTGCTGTTTTATAAGGTGCCCTGGTGGCAGAGTGGCTAAGCATTTGGCTACTAACAAGTAAGACCATCAGTCTGAGCCCATGAGTTAATCTACAGGAGAAAGATGTGGCAGTTACAGCTTAGGAAACCCTATAGGGCAGTTACCCTTTTTCCAGTAGGGTGGCTATGAGTTAGCATTGACTTGATGCCAGTGACTTTAATTGTGGTTTTTGTTTATGTTACTTTGTAACTCAAGGAGCTCTGGTAGTGTAGTGGTTATGAGTCAGACTGCCAACCACAAGGTCAGCAGTTCGAAACTACCAGCAGCTCCGTGGGAGAAAGGTGAGGCGGTCTGCTGCTGTAAAGATTTACAGCCTCAGAAACCCTGTACAGAATCACTATGAGTCAGAATGGACTCCACGATACTTAACAACAACAACAACAACAACAACAACTTTGTAACTCAGCACTATTTGGAAGTATCTGCATTGATCCCACTGAAAGTCTCCTGGAATGGCCAGGATAGTGAACATGTGTTGTTATTGTGGGCTTCTTTTAATAAATTTACTTCATTCATTCTCAAGCCTGAGTCATCCTGTCTTTTAAAAATATTGTTGTTGCAATGTGCCATCAAGATGATACCAACACAAAGCAACCATATGCACAACAGAGTGAAATACTGTCAGGTCCTGGGCCAACCTCACAATCATTGCTACGTCTGAGCCCATTGTGTTGCCACTGTGAAAATCCCTCATGTTGCGGTCTTCCACTTTTTCTTCAACCCTCCACTTTACCAAACATGGTTCCCTTCTCCAGGTACTGGTTCCTCCTGACAATATGTCTGAAGTATAAGAGACAAAGTCTGGCCATCCTGGCTTCCAGGAGCATTCTGGCTGTATTTCTTCCAACACAGATTGGTTTATTCTTTTGGAAGTCTATGGTACTTTAAATAGTCTCCTCCAATACCATAGCTCAAATGCATCAATTCTTGTACGGTGTTCCTTGTTCACTGTTCAAGTTTCACATGCATATGAAGTTACTAAAATTACCATAGCTTGTTGGTCTGAAGTTTGGAGGGACTTGGGAACTCATGAGCCCATGGACTCTGACCTAGCCACAGAGGGCTAGAGCTGAGAGTAAAGTGCCCAGCTAATATGAAGTGGAGGGAGACGACAGGCACTCCCAATCTTGCATATAGTACCCATTTGACCTAGCTTCGGTAGTTTGATGACCAGAATTCAACTAGAGAAAGATAAAGAAATTTGATAAAGGAAGCAAGTGTAACTTGCTACCATTTGTTGAACTTGACCTATACTTATGGTGTAGTAACTCAAAATACCAACTGAGAAGGAAGGAGTCTTCATATCAAGGATCAAGACTATCCCATTGGTAAAGGGATAGGGACTGACAACTTAGACATTGGTTACCTAAAATGAGGGGGTGGGGTGCTCTAAAGGCATGAAGTGGTTGGCTTACAAGTTTTA